GTTCAGCCTGGAGAAAAGGAGGCTGAGGGGAGACCTTCTCGCTCTCTCCAACTCCCTGAAAGGAGGGTGTAGCCAGGGGGGGTAGGTCTCTTCTTCCAAGGACAGGTGATGGGACAAGAGGAAACGGCCTCAAGTTGCGCCAGGGGAGGTTCAGATTGGATATTAGGAAACATTTCTTCATGGAAAGGGTTATCCAGCATTGGAATGGGCTGCCCAGGGAAGTGGATGAGGCACCATCCCTGGATGTGTTCAAAAGATGGGTAGACCTCAGGAATATGGTTTAGTAATTTTTATTTCCTATTTCTTATTTATTTTTTTGTTAGAGTTAGGTTGATGGTTGGACTAGATGATCTTAAAGGTCCCTTCCAACCTAGACGTTTCTATGATTCTATGATTTTAATCATCCACTAAGTGGCCAAATCTGGGTGTTGTACAGGCAGGTTTTGCCTTTGTAGTCACTATCTGCCACCCTGTGGTCATTTGACGCAATTTCTTCACTTACAGTATCGGTGGACTCTTGGAGCAGAACACAGCAAACTCACTCATTCCCCGCTGCTGCAAAAAGGCTTGTAAAGTCAAGGTCTGAATTCGGCTTTCAGCAGCTTAAATGATTCCCTCAGTAACCCGTGCTTATTCACAAGGCCCTCCTTCTTTCTCTAACACCCTTTTTTTTTCCCTCGTGCTCATACTTGTTAAGTGGATGCATATTTCTCTGTCCAGTATTTACAGTTGATCTGTGCCCCTTCTCAGAGATGCAGCCATCACTGGAAAGGACTACAATCCAGGACAGCTCCAACAGGTCTTAGCGAGAGAAACACCTTTTCTGAGTTTTGTCACTTCAAGTCTCAATTAACCATGCTTCTTCTCCACGCAGTCACAGTCATTGGGTGTATCTCCAGCAATATCTCACACAGGGGAACACAGATAAAAAAATGGATTGGTACAGCTTAATGGAGTGGTACAGCTTAATGGAGTGCCATGAAGGAATATGGTGCTATGTATGTGGAAGGCTACACCGTACAAGTGGAATTGACTTTCTTTCTGTCCATGTGTACTGGTAAATGCAAACATATGTATTAATGTTAAATATAGGTGAAGAAATTCCCCTTACCTTATACTTTATGATGATTTCATATTTAAAACACATGTCTTTGTTAGAATGACTTATTTGGGGTCGTTGCCATTGAATTGTGCAATTAGTTTCAATTTCATCACAGCTGACAGTGATATTTGATGGAGGCATGAGCTTTTCTGAAATGATATAACCAAGAATTCAAATAATCAAAATCACTTGGTCTCTTTTTGCTTTGATAATAGAGAGTGCAATTGCAAGTAACACCTCAACGAAGAAAGAGACTTTGTTTTCCTTAGGATCTCTGTTAGAAATGACTAAAAGACCAAAGTTCTTTAAATCCTGTCCCCAGGATCAGAAAAAACAGGGGCTAAGCCAGGGAACATGACTGAGGAGCATAGAAAGATGCAAACCCTCTCCATTTACTTTTTTAGATGAGTAAGGTAGAATCCTGTCTTCTTTTTACAAAGGTGTTTTTTACTGCTGAAGAACTGATGTTAAACCTAATGTAAGAAATACAAAGGTAATTTCTTTCTTTAAGTCTCTTCACAGGATGCTTCCATAACACGAAGTTGTTGCATGATTGGTGTTGTGAATTATGCAGCTTATTCCTCCCTTCCAAAAAATTAGCCATACAAATTTAAGAATGACACTTCAGTTTTGAGAATCTAGCCAGCCTCTTCACATATCTCCCCTAAATTCACAGATGTGGGCAAAAATATGAGGACTTTTATGTTTTGGTCATCACCAAGGACTTGATTATTGTAACAGCAAAAGACAGCCACTCATGACAGAAATGGTGATAAAATGCTGGCAGAGGAAACCTTGGCTTCAGCTAGATTGCTACTTCACACCAATACTTAGAGACAGGCCTGGCCTATTTATGATGGACTCATTGGTCAAAAAACAGTCTTGTTTCATCTCCCATGTGTGATATTACAGCTTAATTCCTTCTGCTTATAGAATGAATCCTTGCTTGTCTATTTTTTGGAGACAATACCAAAAACTTTGCCAACAAGGCTTTGGCACTGTAAAATTAATTGCACAGGATGCTTCCAAATTAGAGCACTAAGTTGAAAGAACATCTGATAACCTGGAGTATTGTGTACACATATTAATGTTCTCTAATCAAGGGTATGGTGTTGGTGTATGCCTTTCCCAATGGGAAGGAGAAATCAGTGCTCAGATAAACTTCTGAGAAGTCTCCTTTGTCAAAAAGTCTTTGACCATCATTGAAAGGACAGCAGGAGGAAGTAAAATCTTTTAAGTCCTGTGGACCCTGTTGGAGAAAGACCTAAAACCAGTAAGGGTAGGTTGATAAAGAATCTGAGGTAGGCTGCAGCTGTGGAAGTTCTTGCTTAATTTCCCTCATTGCTCTTTTTCTTGGGGAATAGGTTTCTTGACAACACAATCTCTTACTTTTGATTCTAGGAGGGGCAGAGTACCTGATTCCTTCTCAGGGAAAAATGCTCTACTACCCTCATGCAATCGTGAAAACACACAAGAAAGAAATTATTTACTTACCGATTTTATATAGCTCAATGCACGTATCATAGAACTGGATCTGGGAGACATTGCTAAGAGCCATTCACCAGGATGTAAGCACTTCCAGGCTTTATCGTCACATTTTGGAATCTGCATCCTATGTTTCTGCCATTTTTGTCTTTAATGTAAAGCTCACATTCCTTTGTGTCATTAGGTCTGTTTATAGCAAAGTACGTTAGTTAAGCACGGGCAGGGTGATGCGTCAAATGAGAATGCAGACTTCCCTAGACTCCAGCAGACCTACTTACCCTGAGTACTGCCAGTAGAGGAAGTACTGGGTATCTCCCGGAGCTTCCCGGCCTGCCTGCCAAGTGCAGTTCATGAGGGAAACATTATAAATCACACAGGAGAAATTTTCAATGGCCGACCCATTCACGCCTGAAAACACAGGAATACCCACAATGAGGACAAATCATGCGACTGCTCCAAGCTGGAGGACCGTGGCACCCATTTAGATATGTTAGATATCTGTGGACCGTGGCACAGGCTTAGATATGTTAGATATCTGCAACCCCCCGGTGGTTATTGCTTGGGTTAGGAATGACTTGTTTCATTTTAGGTAGTAACACTGAAAGATATTTGCACTGACAGATTCAATGAAGATTTTGTCCTGGATAAATCCTCCAAAGATGTGATCATACTTGCTTCTGATAGAATGAGTCTCAGGGGAGCCTACACTCTGCTAGAACAGGCTAATACCTAAAGTGGATACCTTTAGGTATGTTTTGAATTGTTCATATTCAAAAGGAGACACTGGTGCCACAATGTCACAAGCTGAAACATTTGCCTGTCATCCTTCAGTACCCTGCTGTAGCATTTCTATTTGAAGGGTGTTTTTCAGCTCCCTGTCAAATGAATGAAGAGCATGAGAAGCTTCCTAGCTGGACTCCAGAGAGGGAGAGACACCCAAGTGCAGAGCTGTGAAGTTTTTAAAGACTTCAAAGAGGTGTAGATACAAACTTCTGAGGTGCTTCTGCTCTGCAGTGATACCTTCTTCCACCTGGGATTAGCATGAGAAATCTTTTCCTGATCACAAACATACCAATTTAATGTCTAACACCCTCCCCCAACAAAACCGAATAAGGAGCCTAAACATACCTTTCAAAAGGAAGCACTAGTTATCCATTCTTTCATAAGGAATCAGCAAATACTTTGAGCTTGATGAGGCAGGAAGTAGTGCCGTTTTGTATATGCAAACTCCATGTTGCTTGTATGAACAGATCTTCTACCTCATTCTCTTAACAGTCTCATATACATTACCCCTCTCATACAAAAAGAAGTAAATTCTGTCAGACCTTTCATTATTGTGGATGGGACAGTGCAAAGTGTCGGGCGTTACACCATGAGTTACACTGTGACAAAACTCAAGATTCCACAGATTTCTCAAGGAAGAACTTCAAATTACCACCACAAACCTGTTCCACTTGGATTCTTAATAACATTTTAAAGACTTTCAAAAGCATTCAATGACATATTAGCACAAACAATTAAAAGAGAATTGGCAAGTAAAAAGGTATACCAAGAAGGTATCAGCTGAGAACTAAAAAAATTGCTGAGCTAGTTATAGGAAACTTTTCTTTTACAGAAACATTGTCATAAGGCTGACATATTGACATAAGGCTGTCTATGCCATGCTGAGGGAAAACACAGACAGTGGCATATAAGATGCACTTTGGCTCTCCTAATTTTCTCCCTGCATAGCTTCACTACCTCTTTATAGGCCTCATGAGAGTCCTGGCCCCTCTTCCAAAGGTTGTAACCTCTCCATTTGTTCATTAGATCCAGCAAAAGGCCCCTTTTTAGCCAGGCTGGGCTCCTTCCTTGCCTACTTGTTTTTCGGCACACGGGGACAGCCTGCTCTTGTGCCTTTAAGACTTCTTTCTTGAAGTATGTCCAGCCTTCCTGGGTTCCTATACCTTTCAGGGCAGACTCCCAAGGGATTTTGTCTAGCAGTCTTTTGAACTGGTCAAAGTTTGCCCTCCGGAAGTCTAAGGTGGCAGTTTTAGTAACCCCTCTCCTTGTTTCTCCAAGGGTCAAGAACTCAATCATCTCATGGTCACTGTGCCCTAGATGACTTTCAGCCTTTACTCCGCCCACAAGTTCTTCCCTGTTCACAAGGAGCAGGTCCAGTAGGGCACTTTCCCTGGTCGGCTCACTTACCAGCTGCGCGAGGAAGTTATCTTCCACACACTCTAGGAACCTCCTGGATTGTTCCCTCTCTGCCGTGCTGTATTCCCAGGAGGTATCTGGGAAGTTGAAGTCCCCCATGAGAACAAGGGTGAGAGATAGCGAGAGCTCTGCCAGTTGCTGATAGAATATTTCATCCATTTCTACATCCTGGTTTGGGGTTCTGTAATAACCTCCCGCTATGGTATCTGCCTTGTTGGCCTTCCCCTTGAGTCTGACCCATAAACACTCTACACTGTCATTCCCATTATTAAGTTCTAGGCATTCAAATATGATTCTAACATAGAGGCTCACCCCACCACCTCTCCTTCCTTGTTTATCCCTTCTGAAGAGTTGGTAGCGACCAATTGCAGCGCTCCAGTTGTGTAAGTCTTCCCACCACGTTTCTGTGATGGCAACTATATCATAGTTTTCCCACTGTGCAATGGCATCCAGCTTCTCCTGTTGGTTGCCCATACTGCGTGCATTTGTGTAGATGCACTTTAGCTGGGCTAATTTTCCTGCCACTTTTGTGGGGGGCCGAGCCCCAATACCCCCCTGACTGTGCTCAGACCCTTCTGTGGTTGCCAACCTATCACTATCCCTGATGTTATGACTACCACATGGGAATTTTCCTGCCACTTTTGTGGGGGGCCGAGCCCCAATACCCCCCTGACTGTGCTCAGACCCTTCTGTGGTTGCCAACCTATCACTATCCCTGATGTTATGACTACCACATGGGTTACCATTCCCCACCTCTACTGAGACAACAGGCCTCAAGACCTTGCTAGTGTTTTTACCCACCAGCACTGGTAATCTGCTCCCAGGGTCTTTTTTCGTAATCTTGATTCCATCCCCATCCCCCATCAAACCTAGTTTAAAGCCCTTTCAATGAACCCTGCTAATTCTTGCCCCAGTATTCTTCTTCCCCTTTGGGTAAGGCTTGCCCCACCTGTTGCCAGCAGGCCTGGTGTCCTGTAGATCATCCCATGATCAAAGAAACCACAGTCCTGCCAGTTACACCTGGCTCGGAGCCAGTAGTCAATCTGCACCGAGCAGATTAACTGATTAACTTAACTTGCTGGCTATTCCTATTTATCCCCTCATCAGTTCCTGCAAGTGGTGGGATAAAGGAGAACATAACTTGTGCTCCTGATCCCTTGACCAGCCGTCCAAGGGCCCTAAAGTCTCTCTTCATTGCCCTTGTGTCACCTTGTCGCCGCCTACTTGAAATACTAGTAATGGATAGTAATCTGAGGGTCGGACCAGGGTAGGGAGATTTTTCTGTATATCCTTAATCCTGGCCCCATGGAGGCAGCTGACTTCTCTGTGGGATGGATCCGGTCTGAAAATGGGGCCTTCTGTTCCCTGCAGAAGGGAGTCATCCACCATAATTACTTTCCTTTGTTCCTTTGTTGAGAAAGTCGTAAGGTGTGAGTGGCTAGATCTGGGTAACTCACTGCATTTATCGTCTTCTCCATCCCATTTACCTGGCCCTCAATTTCTAAAGCCCCATACATATTTTGCAAGTGCAACTGGGAAGGTGAGGGGGGCTGGGAAAGGTTTTGTTTGCCCCTCAGAGGAGGGACCTGCTTCCATTCCCCATTTTCCCTTAAGCCTCTCTCTTCTGCCTGGTGACAGGTGGAAAGGAGATCATCCACTTCCTGTAGAGCCTCTACCTAATGGCTATGCCTCAGGGTATGGCTTCACCAATCTATTTCACATTCACTTTCTCTGATGCTTTTAAGTCTTTCTACCTCTTCCTTCAGTTCAGCCCCCTGCCTGAGCAGGTAGTTTATTTGATCACACTGCAGACAGGTGGTATCTCTGGCTCCCTTGGGAACAAATGCCAGGCTTGGGTATTTGCTGCAGCTGGAGACCTGCACAGCTGTGTGTTTTTGCGGGAGCTCGGCCTGAGTTCCCACATTCTTCCTTGCGGTGCATTTTGCAGGTGGTGGGGCCATGTTCTTGTCTGGCACTGGGAGGGGACCCGCCCCCTGCCTGAGCAGTTAGTTTATTTGATCACACTGCACACAGGTGGTATCTCTGGCTCCCTTGGGAACAAATGCCAGGCTTGGGTATTTGCTGCAGCTGGAGACCTGCACAGCTGTGTGTTTTTGCGGGAGCTCGGCCTGAGTTCCCACATTCTTCCTTGCGGTGCATTTTGCAGGTGGTGGGGCCATGTTCTTGTCTGGCACTGGGAGGGGACCCATGACTGATGGCTGCTTCCCTCACGCTCTGTGCACCTCCGCCTGCGCCTGCTGGTATTCCCACCCTTGCACTCACTCACGCACTCCCGGCACACTCTCTGCCCCTGCTGTGGCTATGGCCACTTTTAAATGTGCCACAACTCACCTGGCCTGCCCCCAGCTACGTCAGCCTCTCAGCTCCCTTGCGAGATTCCCGACTCGTTTTGGGTCTCTCCTGAAATGTTCAAGGTCAGGTTGGATGGGTCTTTGAGCAAAGTGATCTAGTGAAAGATGTCCCTGCTCATGGCAGGAAGGTTGGACTAGATGATCTTTAGAAGTTCCCTTCCAACTCAAACTGTTCTGTGATTGTATGAACCTGCTTGGATAGCAGGAGCCACTCCAGAAATGTTGTGTCTTCACAGGCTTCTGTGTAACACCGATCATCAGCCCTGAGCAAGCACATCACTGCATTTCCCAATGTCACTGCATGCTTATGTCTTGGCTATAGGTAAGTCAGTAAGGACCCATGTATCCAATTCAGCCTGTCCTTTGTATTTAGAAATTCTCATCTGAACAGCAATGAGATGCGTCTCACTGAAGTTCCTCTAAAAGCAGGAAAAGAGACAACCTTACACTTCAGTCCCATCAAGGCCCTGATTCCAAAAGATTCCTCTGAAAGCAAGAATTTCACAAGAATGGCCAGAGAGGACAGATATGCCTCAGTACTAAGACAGGTCTCAACAAAAAACTAGAAAAGACTGCTAAAACAGAGACTATCTTGTTTCTACCAAAAGTACTTTTTTCAGTTACTTAATGATATGAAAGAAAAAGAAGGAAGTGTAGTGATTTATCTCCATTAAAACTTTACATAGCAAATTTACCATTATAGTCTCAGTAAAATGTCCTGCAGTCACTGAACACCAGTCTTCAGTGAAATTCATGTTGTTCATTCAACTCAGTTCCATTTTCCACTGATTCAACACCAAATTTCTAATAGGTGAATCTGGCATCTCTGCTGCAAGTGTCACATAATGGGATCAGTAAGGTGCAAGACTGATTCCCAGATTTTCAGGTGCAGAGGTTACTGCCCAGCACATCTAAGACAGAAGGCAACTTATGCACAACTACCCATAATGAGAAGGACGTTACACCACCTCAGAGGATTGGCTCTACTCACAGTCTGTGCAATGCCAACCGACACACAACTGGGTGATCAGCAGCATCCACTGGGTCATGAAGATGAGTGCAAGAGGAGCAACCATCTCTTCTTCCTTGGAAACGGAGAACAGTGAAACTTGCTCAAGATGAAAGATGTCAGCATCAACAACTCTCCTCTGAATTTTTCGAGTCTGACCTGCTCATATGCCTGCTTCTACACCACCTGAACTTCTCAGTTTTGGTGGGCAGAAAGATTAGATAGACTTCTCAAGCAGTCAGGGAAATGTTCAAATAAACAGTAACAAGGTTAAAGAAGTTGTCCTTTTCTGTAACAAAACAATTTGTGTGATGATTCGTAAGGCTGGTGATCTTGAGAGCACTGTATAAACTTTACATACATATATTTGATGACTAGTATCTTAAGGTCTAAATATTATTTATCTATCTGCTATATACAAAGGTTATGATGAATAGATTTCAAGCAGGTGGGTAAAAAGCTGCAAACAGAAAATATCAAAATGGATCACAGCAATATCAATCACCTTGAGTTACCCAACAGTGAATATGGTGAGTTTGGTGAGGGCATTAGTTCACCTACTTTCAAAGATTTTTTTGAGTATATGCTTAAAAGTAGATCTAGGAGCAGTGTCTAACTTCTATGAATTCAGTACCAAACGCAGTAAGAAAAATAGAATTGTGGCTAGGACTTTTGTTAGCAGGGAGTAGGTACTTTATTTGCAAAACTTAGCTCATGTATTCCTCTGACAGCCTTTTAGATTTTGTGTGGGACATCATCCCTCTAGCCCTGGACTTCCTAGAGTCCCAAAGAATACCTCAGCAAACAAAGTAGTCATAAAGACAAAGATGGACCTACCTTCTACTTCAAAACGCCTTTGTGTTGTTTGTCTATCTATCAGTCTTCAGGCTCAGAGAGGACGGGAAGCCTCATATGGTGGTATAGCTATAAATAGGGCCGTCTCCCTTGCTGTTTGTGTTTTGGGGAACTGTCCTGTCATCGGAAGTGTTGCAAGACGTGATGTTCATCACTTCCCTTCTGGTTCTTACCAAATTCATGAAATTGCACAACTCATGATTTCATATAACATGAACTGGCAGTTAGCTCTTTAAACTTTCCTTTCTGTTGTACAGAATCCACTAGTGCTTGGGAATCATAGAATCACAGAATGATTTGAGTTGGAAGGGACGTTAAAGATCTTCTAGTTCTAACCACCCTGTCATGGCCAGAGACACCTTCCACTAGACCTAGTTGCTCAAAGCCTCATTCATCCCGGCCTTGAATCCAGCAAGTACATAACAATCTTTTCTTTCACCGATATTTCTCTCTAGCTCCAAATAATACTGAGTAGTATAAAGCATGTCTCAATACAAACCAGGTCTAGGGGCTGGGAGCAGTGGGGGTTCCCCACGGTGGGTGAGGGCAGAGCCCGTCCCACCCCACAGCCAGGTACAGGGCAGCTGGGGGCAGCGGGAAGCCCCAGACCTGGGCATCGGACACCTCCCTGGGGATGAGCTGAAGCCAGGACATTGGCCCACGGGTGGGTCCAGCTCAGGGGGCAAAAAGCCACGCCAGGGCTTGCTGCTGAGCATTTGTTCCCTTTTCAGGTCACAGCTGTGCATTTTCTAAAGGAGAAGGTCATTATAAACAGTATAAAACATCAAAAAGTCCTTTATACCCTGAAAGGCTTTGCTTCACAGAAGACAATGTAATTTACTTAGTATGGCGATTCATAATCCATGTAAAGTAATTTAATTTCTTCACGTATTGGAATTGAAACATCACTAGAAAATACGACATTTTTCAAACAGCAAGATGTGTCAACATTTTTCTCTTAAAAACAGGCAGATCTGTTCTGCTGGAGATAAAAACTTATAGGAGAGAGAATTGTCCATGTGTTTCTCTACCAATCCCATTTCTTGCCTACTATATTTGGAAAAAGTAATCTGCTGCCCAGGACATTTCCAGAATGCTGCAGGATTCATGTTTATCAAAATCCCAACTTCATTCCTATCCTACAGCTTATTTATTGACATATGGAGTGAAATAACCATATCAGCAGTAGTTAAATATCAGCCATTCATAAAATCCAGACCAGGTTGCTCAAAGTTCCATCCAGCCTGGTCTTGAACACTTCCAGGGATGGGACATCCACAACTTCTCTGGGCAACAAGTTCCAGTGCCTCACCACCCCCACAGGAAAGAATTTATTCCCTACATCTAGTCAAAATCTCTTTCAGATTAAAACCGTTACCCCTCATCCTATGGCTCTGGTCCCTAATAAAGTCTCTCCCCAGCTCTCCTGTAGGCCCCTTTAGGTACTGGAAGGCTGCTATAACATCTCCCTTTCTGTTCTCCAAGCTGAACAACCCCAATTCTCTCAACCTTTCCTCATGGGAGAGGTGCTCCAGACCTCTGAGCATCTTTGTGGCCCTCTGCTGGATCTGTTCCAACAGGTCCATGTCCTTCCTGTGCCGAGGGCTCCAAAGCTGGAGGCAGTACTCCAGGTGGGGTCTCACCAGGGAGGAGTAGAGGGGTAGAATCACCTCCCTTGACCTGCTGGACACACTTCTGAGCAGCCTTATTCACACATAACTAAGATATAGTTATTTCCAAAACAGAAATTCAAAGGTAGTGCTGTGCTGACTGCCTTTGGGTACAAAGAAGGCTTACTTTCTACACACCCAGAAAAGCCGAGGCTCATGAGTATTTCTGCTTCCTAGATTCCTGATAGAGTGTGAGATTTATGAGCTGTAAGTCTGCTGTCTTTTGCTAGGTTCATTTTCTTATGTTGCTTGTAAACATGAATGATACTGAGCTGTCACTGAGACCAGCCAACACATCAAAGCTGATATCTGATCTGCTTTCTTCTCCATAACTCATACAGTATAAAGGGAACAGGTGTAGCACAGCAAGTCTACTCATCACATTAACAAATTTATGACTGCAAAAGTATTTTATACAAAAATAAAAGTTGAACCAGCTTAACTTCTGGTCACATGCAGTACTAGAAGCATAAAGCAAGTCCTGAACTGAAAAGCAATGTATGAAGTGACTCCCTATGGTTGTGTTCATGCATTTGATCATGTCTGTCAATAACTCAGTATTGACTGAGGAGATGAACAATTCTCCTTGAGTATCCACAACTTATAAAAGCTCCAGTCATCCACAGAAACAGCAATCACAAGAGAACCAAATAGATCCTGGCCTGGAAGAGGGAAAGGTCTAAGACAGCGGTGGCTCTATAAGGACCAATTCATGGGAGTTGACTTTCTTCATATGCCAGGAGAGATTAAAAATGAAACACAGTTCTCCTGAAGCATAGTTATGAAGCAAACAGTGGGAACGTGGAACAAATAAGAAGAAGTGGATATTCTACTAAAAAGTAGATTTAGTCACAGAAGAAGCTCTTTTTGATAAGAGTCACTGTCACTATCCCCATCACATTAAAGTTGTCAACAGACAAAACAACTGGAAGTTTAGACTTCAGGTCTTCAGCCCATGATAGTCATTCAGAGGAAAAAATAGTCCATCGTCAGAAGTTCCTCTGCACTTCCAGATTAAAGGAATTCCACACTTACCCATGTAAGTATTTTTTTAATAGTTACTGGAAGAAAGGACTTCTAATCACAAAGAATGAAAAAACCCACACACTTTATTTTGTTCTCATCTTTGGAAGAAAAGCACTCGATTTCATCGTGATAACAGACTGTATTTCATGGAGAATGGAGGGGGGAAAGTACCCAGGGAAATAAAATCAGAGCCTTGGGAAATGTCTTAGAGAATCAAATGGTGTTCCCCAAAGTTAAGGAAGACAGAGTTTCTGTGTATCTGCCTTTCTCTGTCCTTTCCCCCAGCCTTTCACCTCCGTTGGTCTCCATCCTCTAATGGGTCAGTTCCCAGAGTGCTAAGCAGTTTCCTGTCTACTCCATCAGCAGACACGTCCAAACCAGGAGAATTTCTCACCCTCTGGCACCTCACACTGCAGGAGCAGAGAAGAGAGGGAGTTGAGGTGATCCATACAGCCCTGAGATGGGGCTGGGGAGGAGGAGAACGAATTGCACCAAAGTTGCATTTCTTAATCCTGCACCACTTTAGGGGTGGTGTTTAAGGGCAGCTGCTGCTGTAAGGGGGGTTTAGCTGCACACTCCTATGGAGATTTCATGGCAGAAGCAGTTGGGACACAATGTTGTGCCCACTGATGGCTGTGGCTGGATTTCTGGGCGGTGTCTGTAACTGAGACACCCTTTCATCACACTGTTTAATGTTGATACGGTGGGATGTAGACTGACCTGGGCAATTGTGTTTTTTTTCTGTGCCTAAATCTGGTACTGGGAAGTGCCATCAACCCTCAACCTTTCAGTCATCCCAATTATGCATCTTCTAATTATGCATCTTGCAATAGACAAAGATAAACACATCTGTCCAGTGGTGGGTTCTCTTTCTCCAGTTGAACTCCCAACTGCACCCTGTGCAAAGCCCTGTGCTCCCTCTCTGAAGATGTCCTGAGCCTGTGGAACTGGCAGCAGAGGAGCACTGTGGTCTTTGGTGCTCCCTCAGATTACGCACCTCCATAACAAAATGAGGAAGTCTGGGTTTTGAGGTTTCAGGGTTTGGGTACTTTTTGTTTTTAAACTGGAATATACTGCAGCAGAACAATCCAAACAGCCCACAAGGACAGTGATGTTACCACAGACAAAGAAACTCTCCTACACGGGGGATTTCTTTGCTTGTTTTAGGGGAAATCAGCCCTGAGGCTTTAAAAATGCAAACAAATTAAAAAAAAATCCAAAGCAAAAGTGGTGCAGCCATAGTATGTTATCTTTTAGAGGCCAGAAAATTAGTGTTGAATAGCATTGCCAGAAGGTGGAAGAGAAATGAGGATAAGAAAAGAGAAATAGGAGGAGAAAGAGAAGAGAAAGCTGGGCAGATATGCCAGGGCTATTTTCCAACTTTTGGCTCTACAAGGGCTAGAGCCGCTGCAAGAACATGATTTGGAGTTAAATCCACTTGGCAGCCAGTCATGAGTGGTGTCCCACAGGGCTCAGTACTGGGGCCAGTTCTCTTTAATATCTTTATCAATGATCTGGATGAGAGGATCGAGTGCACCCTCAGTAAGTTTGCAGATGACACCAAACTAGGTGGGAGTGTCAGCCTGCTGGAGGGTAGAAAGGCCTTGCAGAGGGATCTGGACAGGCTGGATCAATGGGCTGAGACCAACAGGATGAGTTTCAATAAGGCCAAATGCCAGGTCCTGCACTGAGGTCACAACAACCCCATGCAGCGCTACAGGCTTGGGGAAGAGTGGCTGGAGAGCAGCCTGGTAGAAAAAGACCTGGGGGTGTTGGTCGACTGTCGGCTGAACATGAGCCAGCAGTGTGCCCAGGTGGCCAAGAAGGCCAACAGCATCCTGGCCTGTATCAGGAGCAGCGTGGTGAGTAGGACCTGAGAGGTGATCATCCCCCTGTACTCGGCACTGGTGAGGCCTCACCTCGAGTGTCCAGTTTTGGGTCCCTTACCACAAAAAAGATATTGAGGTGCTGGAGCGGGTCCAGAGAAGGGCAACGAAGCTGGTGAGAGGTCTGTAGAAGAAGTCTTATGATGAGCAGCTGAAGGAGCTGGGGTTGTTCGGTCTGGAGGACTTTGAGGGGTGACCTTCTCGCTCTCTACAACTCCCTGAAAGGAAGGTGTAGCCAGGGGGGGTTGGTCTTTTCTCCCAAGGAACAGGTGATGGGACAAGAGGAAACGGCCTCAAGTTGCCACAGGGGAGGTTCTGATTGGATATTAGGAAACATTTCTTCATGGAAAGGGTTATCCAGCATTGGAATGGGCTACCCAGGGAAGTAGTTGAAGCACCACCCCTGGAGATATTCAAAAGATGAGTTCACATGGTACTTGGGAATGTGGTTTAGTGTTGGTCGGTTGTTTTTTTTTTTTAAGGTTGGACTAGATGATCTTAGAAGTCCCTTCCAACCTATGTGATTCTAT